TTCTTTCTTTCTTTCTTTCTTTCTTTCTTTCTTTCTTTCTTTCTTTCCTTCCTTCTTTCTTTTTTCCAGGCTAGGGATTTTTATGTCAAGGTTAGTCACTTTCTTTTCAAGACACTGATGGTGGTTTAGTCCCATTGATACTTTTTTTTTTTAAATTTTCAGTCATCACTCCAGCTATGCTGTTTAATATTGGGAAGGGGAGTGTAAGATAGTCTAAGCGATCAGAATGGGAGAACCAAGAATGCTTTCCTCTCCTTCATGACCATCCCATTATCAGCCCCCTTCCCCCACCCCCACATGCCTCCCCAGCGACCACAAGAACCCAGCACCTTGGGAGTAGCAAGACACTAACCTGGAGAGGGTTGAAATAAAAATTCACAGTGAAGATTATTATTACCTCTATTCCATCCCTCTCATCTCCCCTTCTCCCCTGACTACCCCTACCCCTACCCACAAGGAGCCAATATCAGCAGCCATTGTGAGGGTCTGAAGAAGAGAAGACAGTCGACAGCTGACTGCCAGGCTGACTTTCCTCCCCCAACTCACACATATCCCCCAGTCCCCTCAAAGAGTGTTCTCAGGGGGAAAGGGGTTTCCAACAAGTTGAAGAAACTTGGAAGGAGATCGCTAGCACACGTCTAGGCACCTGAGAGGGCTGCTGTGGTGATGGGGGTGGGGGGAGGAGGCAAGAACCGGAGGAAAAGAGAACAAGAGTCAAAGGCAATAGCGAGTGGAGGGAGCACCCCCCCCACCCAACCCCCGCCTCTCACTGCTTACCACTAGGACGGGGACCCCAGCAGCCAGCGAGTAGAGGAGCACGGGTGGCACGGCGCTGCTGTCCTCCGGGCCCGGGTAGGGCTTTCGGTAGGCGTTGTCGTTGCAGAAGAAGCCCTGTACATTGACGGTGAACGTGTCCGTGTACTCGAAGTAATAAGCCAGCATCACCGTCCCTGCCATGATCACCATCTGGAAATAAAGCATGCTGCTGGTGAGAGCCGAGGGGAGCCGGGGCATGTACGCCTCCCCGGGCTGAGCCGGCGGACCCAGGAGCCCCCCTCCCCGGTGGCGGCAGCGGTGGCAGCACGCGGGCTCCGGGATGGCATCCACCGGGGGCAGGAGCGGCAGCAGGAAGGGGATCGATGGAGGTGGAGAAGGAGGAGGAGGAGGAGGAGACGATGATGGAGAAGGACGAAGAGGAGGAGGACGAAGGAGGGGGGAGGAGGACGAGGAAGAGGAGGAGGAGGAGGAGGAGGAAGAGGAGGCTAGCCCGGGCAGCTCCTATGCCCCTGCTTCCGAGACTCTTCACTCCAAGTCTGGGTAGAGGAAAAGAAGTAGGAGGAGGTGGCGGCCGCAGGGCAATCCCTGTGGATCCCGCCCCGAGGGAGCAGCGCTGGGGTATGGGCTCAAGCTCAAGGGCGGGGAGTCCCGGGCCAGTGGCTGCAGCTTAAGCGGCAGCTGCGCCGCACTGGCACGAGACCATTCACCCTGGCTGGAGGAGGGGGACGGCTCTCTCAGCCTAGGGTCAAGTCCCGCTGACCTCCCGGAGGAGGTGGTTGCATTGGTGGCGGCAGCCCTTGCTGGGCGCAAAGGCGCGCGTACACCAGCCTTGGGAAAGGATGTGGAGGCGGGAGATGCTTGATCTAGGGGCAACAGGGGTGGGGGTGGGGGAGAAGGAGGGAGATGAGATGAAGGCAGGGTGGGTTGGGGGAGGCAGTATGGTTTTGGAATCCCCCCTTCCCGTGAAGGAGCAAGGGAGTTAAAGACAATCTAAAATTCACTATTAAAATGGTTGTCTCTGCACAGCTTTCGCGCTCCAGCCTCGCGTGGAAAAGTGTTGCCCGATTCTACAAGAGTTCCCAGCCAGCTGAGAGGTTTGGAGGAGAAATCTCACATCCACTCCCCAAGCTCCAGTTTCTTAGACCCTGCGAGGTCGTGGACAAGAGCAAAGGAGAGAAGAGGTTCCAAGGTGTGCCTCTAGGAATCACCACCTCCCCCGCCCCGCAAATCTTGCAGGATTAGGTCTGGGGCTTTCTTCAGCCCTACATCGTCCTAGGGGGTTTGCATTCTTAAAATCGCTGAAATAATCATTCAGGAGTCCTCGTCATCTGCCGCAGGATTGCTTTGCTTCCTTCTCGGTCTTTCTAGTTTTTCAACTGCTTGAGATGTTTGGCATTGCAGATTTCTGGGACCCTGTGATGATGCCAGCCCCCATGGAAGAGAAAAACATTCACAGTTTTATCATGCTTGCTCTTAAGCATCTATCTTTGACTGGAGTTTTAGAGCGAGCTGCGGGGAATTCCCGGGTCTTAAAATGTGAAAGAAGAGAAAAATCATTAAGGCTATAGCTGTCGCTATTTATAAAGACATACATATATTTAGATATGCATGTCTATATTAAATGTTATATTTATATGTTAAAGAAATATATTTATTTTAAAAAAGAGCTCTCCTTTTCCCCAGTACCAGAGCTATTAGTGGATCCAAATTGATTAGGATAAGGATTAGGATCTGAAGTATGAATCGGTAGGGGAAGCTTCTCAGGGAGATCCTTCCCCGGAGTGGGTCCATACCACCATAGGACACTGCAGTGGGACCTAAGGGTGGGCCCCCAGGAGTTATTTTGAGGCCCCTGTTATTTTCACTGAAACACACTTCTTTATTGTCTCCAAAATGTTAATTCAACTCAAACATCCTAAAAGTGTTGAATTTTATTAGAAAGGAATAAGGACATTATTAGGCAAAAAATAAAATCTGTATCTTGCAAATGAATCTTTTTTTTTCTTTTTCTTTTTCCAATTCACCTATAAAGAGCTGCCAAAGTAATTTCCTGAACTTTAGATCTGACTATGTCATCTGTCCTACTCAATAAACTCCTGGGTGCCTATTACTACTAGAATTAAGTATAAATTTCTTTGTTCTTCACAGTCTGACTCCTTCCTGCTAATACAGTCTGCATTCATATTACTCCCTTCTATAAGCTCTGTGGTCTAGCCACATAGGTGTCCTTTCTGTGATCTACACAAAGGACATCTCATTTTCCATTGTTACCGCTTCTCCCTGGCTGCCCGAATGCCTTCAATGCTCTCCTTTTTCATCTCTACCTCTTGGCAACCCCTAGCTCAGGGGTGGGAAACCTTCCACCTCCAGGCCGCATGTGGCCCTCCAGGTCCTCAAGTGTGGCCTTTTGACTGAAGTTCCCCATTCCTGCCTAGCTTCCTTCAAGATTTAGCATCAGCACCAACTCAAATGCTAATGCCTTCTCATTCAAGATTACTTTGTGTCTACTTTGAAAGTCTACTTCTCATTCAAGATTACTTGGTGTCTACTTTTGAGGAGGGTGCAGCTAAGTACTGCCCTGGATAGAGAACTCTGAATCCTGAATTAGAAAGACTCATCTTCCTGAGTTCAAATCCAGCCTCAAATACTTGCTAGGTGTGTGACCCTGAACAAGTCACTTAACTCTGGTAACAACTGTTTGCCTCAGTTTCCTTATCTGTAAAATGAGCTGCAGAAGGAAATGGCAAACCACTTCAGTATCTCTGCCAAGAAAACCCCAAATGGGGTCACCACTGAAAAAAGATGAAAATTTACGTATTGTCTTCTCCATTAAAATGTAAAGTTTTTGAGACCTAGGAGTATTTCAGTTCTGTCTCTGTATCTCCATTGCCTAGAACAGTGCCTGGTATGGTACCAGATAGACCTGTTGATTTACTGACAAGGATTATATTGCATGTCTTATAGTTGTTTTTTTTTTTTATTTTAAGATGCTTTGTGGTTTAAGCCTTGATGTCATAAGATGGGTTCAGGTCCTTCCTCTGACATATATTGTTTATGCGAATATAGGCGAGGCTCAACTTCTCAGAGTCCCAGGCAATTCTAAAATTCTAAATTACAGAAGAAATGTCAACCTGCTTCAATGGAGGGAATTTTCATACTAAGAGTTCCTCATATAGTTGAAATCCCACGTCTTTGTCCCACTCCCTGTCTCCAGAAAATGCTTATTATATATCTCATAGTTCACATTATTCCATTTTAAAATGTATTTGTTGAGCTCATACCTAGCACTGTCAGAATATAAACAATAAGCAACTAATACAGTAGGTATAACAATACTTGAAAGAGAAATCCATTGTGGTATAATAGGAAAAGCACTGGCTTCAGAATGAGATCTAGAATCTAGTTCTTCTTCTGAAAGTGTGTGTGACCTTGGGCAAGTCATTCACCTTCTGTGGGCCTCTAAAACCTGGTGAGGAAGGGAAAGCAATAAGAAGAAATGGCACTGGAACTGAGCCTGGAAGAAAGATTAGCAATCTGAGAAGCAGAGATGAGGGAGTGGATTCCAGGTGTAAGGGACACACTAAACAAAAGGAGATAGAAAGTTGAATTTAAGCAACAGTTAATAATTTAGTTTGGTTGAAGCATAAAGAGTATAAAGAAGAATAATTTGAAATAAAGTTACAATTTTATTTTCAGATAGGTAAGAGCCAGTTTGGTGGGGACTAAATACACCTCAAGGGCTTGTGGTTTATCCTTGAAACAATTTTGTTGTTTAGTCTTGTCTTACTCTTCATGACCCCATTAGAGTTTTCTTGGCAAAGATACTGGAGTGGTTTGTCATTTCATTCTCTGGATCATTTTACAGATGAGGAAACTGAGGCAAACAGGGTTAAGTGACTTACTCAGGATCACACAGCTTATAAGTGTGTGGGATGAGATTTTAACTCAGATCTTCCTGACTCCAGGCCTGGCACTCTATCCACTTCACCACCTAGAAACAATTAGGGAGTCACTCATGTTTTTTGTTTTTTGTTTTTTGACCAAAGGTACAACTGTGCCTTTCAAAGACTGTTTTATAGAAGAGTGTGTAGGATGAATTAGAGAGGTGAAAGACTAAAATCAAGGGTGCCAATCAAGCTAATACAGTGCTCTATGTGAGGAGTGATGAGGAGATAAGGAACGAACTAGAGTGGTGAAAAAGATATGGATAGATACAGGTAGAGGTGATATAAATAGATTGGTGTAGATTTAAGTTGTATATAGATAAATATGTAGAATTAGAAATGGAAATATATATATTATATATATATATAGAGAGAGAGAGAGAGAGAGAGAGAAATATAGATATAGATACAAATGTACTGATTAATGAACTACTCAGTACTGTGAGTATAACTACATGTTATAATCTGGGCAGTATGTATTTTTCATATACTTTATTTTGCCAGGGGGGAGACCGGCAGGGCTCAATGCAATTAGAACAATGTCAGGTCAACTTCTACCATTTATGTAAATGTAAATCTTAGAAACACTGATTTTATATATATATATATATATATACACACACTATATATATATATATACACATATATATATATGTGTGTGTATATATATACTTCATCCAGGAAATTATCATAGGGCCTCAAAAAATATTTAGTCCACCCCTCTGCCTCTAGAGAGAACAGCATCTGATCCACCCAAAGCAAATGAATGTTTGAATAACTTTTAAAGCTCTCTAAGGATGCATAGAGAGATTTTGTATTTAGGAGAACCAAGTACAAGCAACTAAAGGAACATTACATAATTATTTGGTGGAAAATACTTTCTCATAATTAAAATGCTAGTGATTTAACCAATACATCTATTCATCTATATTAAATGTGAAATATTTCATTCCATATAATATGCATTTGGAATGGAAAAATCTTATTTATGGTCCTTGTCATTCAAAATGAAACTGTTATAGGATAAAGACCACTGAACTTGAAGTCAGAAGACCAAGGTTTGAAGAGCCTAACATTTACTGGTTATCTAAGTCATTTAACTTCTATGGGATTTGGTTTCCTAATCTTTAAAATGAGTATAACAATATTTGTACAACATACTTCATAGGATTATTATGAGGATCAGATGTATATACAAAACTTTGTAACCACAAAGCATTATATAAATGCAAGTTGTTACTATAAGTTTAAATTAATGTCATAAATATTCTAACCTGGTTTTATTCATTCAGT